GTGGCTTCAATGTGTTTCCAAATTTCATTTCAAGAGTTGATTTCAAGCAAGCGCTGCCCCCCCCCCGACATGTTGACGTCATCACTCCTAAAAGTGGCGTCAACAGATTTCGATGACCTCTCACTCGTTTACGTGCGAATGAGAGCGTGAACGTTGCCCTGCCGCCAGATGGACTTGAAAAGTGGTCTTGAAGCGCATCCTTCTTCGTTGCCGTTTGACCCAGCATGCGACTTGGTTTTGGTTTCGCCGTTTTTGTGCGTCCTCATCGCCTCAAGGGAGGCTTTTTTTCCCTCTTTTCTTTTCTCTCTCGCTCCCTCAGCGGAGGCCTCAGCGACTTCCCCAACAGGGAGGGGAGCTCGTTGCTCGAGGTCAAAGGTGCAACAAGTGGACCGTTTGTCCGCCTCCAAGCAAATTCATCACGAGCTATTCTGATCAGGAATGAATTTGATCGTTCAAATCCTCCCAGTTCAGCCCGCCGCAAGTCAATCTCGTCCCAAGCGGTCGGCAATTTTCCGACGGACCAAAGCAGGAACTCAGTCATCATGAACAGATTCCTTTTGAATAGTGGCGTGGGTTTGCTTTTTTGCTCTAAAAGGCGTGCACTTTAGAGTTCAAATATGCTCGAGTAAAAACAAACCCAAAAAAAAGTCGAAAATGACGTCAGTTTCCCGCATTCGAATCACATGCAACTGCACAAGGGAGCCCATTTTTCTTTTCAGAGCGTCTTGACAAGAGTGCGCGCAGAGCGTTTGCAAAATGCCGAGCCTCCTCCAACGGGAACGCCGTCGCCGTGGCGTCAAAAAACGGCGGCAACAAATCTGTCGAGAATCGACGGCGACGGGCACAGATTTCGGTGCTTTTGCGCTGACCGGAGAAGAACGGCTTCCGGTTCGATGCGGAACCGTCACGGCGGCGGGTTCACGTCACGTGAAAATTGGCAAGTTTGAATGTGTTGGTTGCGACGCAAAGACTTTTGGATAGATTGTTGAAGAGGCGGCACTTGATCAAGAGGCTTTCTTTCCAAACAAATAAGAACAAGCAGCTCATTTCGAGAGGGGAAATCGGCGTCCAAAAGCAGAATCGGCCTGTTCTGTTTCACTTTGGGAAAGCTCAAATGCGACTGGCTTGTTTGTTTTGTTTTTCCAAACACTTTAGAATCAGTAAAGCTGCGTTGGCTTGAAAACGCAATCCAATGAAATGCCGTTCCGTTGTCCGATCGGAGTGACGTTGATGCAGAGAAAAGCCATCGTGACCAAAGCCCCTTGACGCCATCCAATTGTATCGTTGTAAAAAAAGCAATATCGCGCCGAGTGTCGAATCTCTCGGCTTTCTATCGATACGTACAAAAAAGCAGAAGAGGAAACCTATCGTTACGGCCCAAACTCCAAAAACTCCACTTCACTCAAGTACTCTTCAGTCGTCACCGATACCGACGACCGACACCACCCGTGCTTTGGCTCCAGTTTGCCGGAAAGCAACTCCAACAGAGACGGCTCGTTTTGGAAGGAATCCCAGGACAACGTTTCACGAAATGAATGGCAATTTTCAATTCTCCAAATTTCTAGTTCCTGATGCTAACACGGCCATTGGTACTTGGCCCTCCCCAACTATGAATTCAACAAAAGGTGAAAGCTGAAGAGCAGAAAGACGACGAGGATGACGTTCGGGAAAGCCGTCAATCACGCGGCGGGCGCGTAGGCGGGCGACGTCATTTTGCTCGGAGGTTTTGCCGTGTTTTGAATTCCTTCCGATTAGGGATGCATAGGTATGACGCCCTACTTAATCTTTCCCCGCCGCCGCCGCGGGCGGGGGGGGGGGGCTTGGCCAGGAAGCGGACCTGCCGTCCTTGAGAGGCTTCGATAATAACAAGACAAGAAGACGTCTTGGTTTTCAGCCAAGCGCAGCTCGCTCGCTTCCCAGCCGCGAATATCTCGGGCGAGGGGGAGTCGGACCGCCGGCGGCACGCGTGGAGGGAAGCGTCGGCAAGTCGGAATGCGCCCGCGTCCGACATCCCCTTCCGCCTCTGTCTGGCGTCTCGTTGAAAGACATTCCGGCGAGACTCGGCCAAGGTCGCGCCGCCGCGCTTCCGCGATCCCCCCGTCTCGCCGCCCACAAAGTGCCGCCAACCTATAGTCTCCGTTCACACCGCCCCCCCCTGGCCCCCACGGGCAAGCTGGCGAGTCAGATCCAAAGCGAGATATTTCATAAATGACCAGTTCGCTGGTACGAACCTGTTGGAAAAAAATGAAACCCAAAAAAATCTCCACCGCTTTGGTCCTCAAATGACGTCATTGACGGGCAAAATTGCTCTGCAAAGAAAAAAAAAAAACGTTTTGATCCTCGCGTACGACACCTCTCGGCATAGCTAATTGTTCGCCGGACTCGATGGGGTGGAGGGAAAGGTGCCGTGAGAAGCCTCCAGCGGCAATTTGGGAGTCGGCAAGATGCGAGCGAGTCGCAGAGCTACAAGTCCACCTCGTCGAGCAAATCAATAACGAGTCCCGCGACCTTTAACCCCTCGGCGTGCGCCCGGCGCGAGCCGGCGAGCGAACGGCGGCCGGGCGTCCAAAGCTCAAAGTGTGGCCGCCTGAACGAAAACAAGTCCAAATCTGTCAGCTCGTCCATGGGCCAACGCTTCAGCCGCGCGCCGCAAGTAAGCCTTCGCCTTCGTCTTTCATTTTCCACCGCTTACGCACCGCCACCGCCGCCGCCTGCACTCCCCATCGGGGATTCGGTGTCAAGACTTTGCGTCTCCGATCCAATCGAGTAGAAGAGAACGAGCCTCCCCGAGTCCCGCGAGGGCGGCAAAGCGGACAGTCGCAGAGCGACCATAAATCAATGGGGACAAAAACAAAGACAGACGGAATTGATTTGCCCCGCGAGTGACCGGTCCGGGGCGATGGTCGGAAGCTAACGAAAAGAAGTCGTTTGCGCGGCGGCGCAAGAATGCGCTCGCCTGTCAGCAGCAGTTTGCTCCTCCGGTCGCTTTCTCGCCGTGTCCTCGACTTGACTTTCTGTCTTGTTTGTTTGCGTCGGGGCGGCTCCTCGGCGCTTGCGATCAGGAAGCGGGCCACGTGTGAGCACGTCGTGTCAACTCAACGGGGTCGAGTTGACACGACGAGCCGACGTGTTTAGCGACGACGCACACACGTGCGAGTCATTCCCACTCCGCAGCTGGAAAATTTGCCGCGGTTCCGAGTGGCCGGCTGTGAAATGGCTGCAAGTGAGCGTGACGCTGCGGCCGCCCCGCACGACAACATCGGCCTTGCCTTGAATCCAGCACCAACAACGCAAATTTGGAGTTTTCATGGTCGGGGCTTCAGATGTCATGTTGATTTTTTTTCCCCTTGCATCACGTCTCTGAGCCACCCGTGGAAACTTTGGACCACCAGCGGATTCTGCGGCTTTTGATGACCGCCGTCCGTGAGCGCAAATATTGCTCTCTCTCTCGCACGTGCAATGCTGTACAAAACATCTTGGTTGGTATCTAAAAAGCTTTCTTTTGAAATGTGACTTTTAAAAAGCCGGTCGCGATCGTCTCGCGAGCCGAAGCATGCGTTTGTTTCACCGGGAACAGTCGGGAGGACTAATTGGTTGGACGGAAAAGGAGGGCGAGCAGAGAGAGAAAAAAAAGAAGTTGACCACACGGTCGGCAGCTGCACACGTCCTTGTGCACTTTGACTTGTAGGCGTGGTCTATTGCAAACGATTCGGTGGGTCCACGGCTCGCTTTTGAGGCGCTGACGTCAAACGGATGGCGGAGCGCCGCCGGCCCGCTTTCGGAGTCCGCCCTGACCCGACCGCTCGGTCGGCGACCTCGCCGCCGTTTGACGACAAGCGGACGTTCACTCTTTTGAACTGCATCGCGGCGTTTGTGTCATTTGCCCCGGGGCGGGTCTCGTCACCCCGACGCTCGCAATTCTTTTGCTTCTTGACGCCCCACCGAATGTTTGGATTGGGCTCAAGTCAGCCGCGGCCCCGGACGCTCGGTCGAGTGGATCGCCGCCTTTGGCGGGGTGGGCTGCCGGTGGACGCTTTGGAGAGAGGCGGAAGACGTGACACGGCAAAAGCGCGCCGTGCCCGTTTTGAAGTACGACGGCCGTGCGCGGAGTCGCGCGAATCAAGTTGACGATCCGCACGATGGCGAAAAGGGAACGAGCGACGGCACGTGGCCACGTTTCACGGCTCGCAAGTGGCACGGACGCGTTCTCGGCTCCGAGGGTCTTGACGGAGAAGGCGGCGCATCGCGTCTTTCCAGAAAGCCGACGAGCGGCTACCCGCGGACGACGTCCGGAGCGGCGGAGAAGAGTGTTCGAGGGGGGGCAGGACGGCGGCGAACTGTCGGGATGAAAGTGGCGGCGGGAGAGCGTCTCGCGCTTTGCTCCTCCGAACCGAACGTCGCCGCCTCCTTCAGCTCCCGGCGGGTGACGCGGCAACCGGGGCTTCGGGATCTTGCTCAAGGACACTTGGACGCCGTCGCAGCGGCCGCGGACGGAAGCGGCAACGTCCGGGGCGGGAAACGACCGTTCTGCCACCGACAAAAATAAGAGCTGCAGCCGACACGCAGGCGGTGGGAGTTTGCTCCGCGTGGCGTTTAAAGGGCGGTATGAAGGAGAGAACAAGTGTTTGGCTGCCACTTGTGTCCATCGGGGACGCTAAACTCGGCAACAAACAACGGCTCGCTGTCGACAAATCCAACTTTGGTCGGAGCCAACCATTCGCTGCGCCGCAGTGTTTGTGAATGACTTTTTGGGCCACTGTCGTTTTGCGTTTTGCGGCAGGACTGGCGTTCAGCGGAGGATGCGGTAGACCTCCACCTCCCGCCGGATCCTCACCCTCGTCCCGTCCGTCACGGGTGGCCGATGGGGGAGCGCCTGCGGCCGGCGCCGTCTCCCGGGCCGGACGGCGAGCCCGCCGCCCTGTTGCGGTTCCGGGAAGTGGACTGCGGCAAGGGCACGGAGCCGAGGAGCTCGCCGCCGGATGGC